AGAGTACTTATAGTAAAATCTCTCTATTTGTTCTAAGCTTAATTCTCAACATATTAACATGAAACTTGTTACAAACTACTCTAATACATTTATATTTAATTTAGGAATATAATTTGAGGTTGAAAAAATGTTAGTGAGTGTGGGGGAGGATAGAGTAAAATAGTCAGTTTTACACATTTTAACCTCCTCTTAGTAAAGCAGAACAAGCAATCTATTCATGACAAATTAAGTATGTAAATTAATTATTAATGTATACAACTAGAATAGACAGTTTTCCAAGCTTATATGTCTAGTTTTGGTCCAGAGAAAAAATAAAAATGAATGTTACATAGAAAATCATCATTTTGTACTGTATCTCAGTCAATTTTTGCTCAATTTTCTTTATTTTTGTTGGAATATGAAAGATATTTAAGATTGATGAATTTAGCAACTTAAATCACACAAAATGACTGTGTATTGATTGAGTTATAGTAAATTTTGTATTCTGACATGTTTAGTGTGACAAAACATTACAAAATGCATCAGTGCCAGGTATTTTGAAAACAGCTGTAAAACAAACTCTAGATTTCTATTACAAGCTATTTAATACTCTCTATCTTTAAGGTTATCTTTATCCTACTCAAAATTATAAGAAGGGTCTAGTAGATTAAAAAGTAAGCTTATTAGTAAATTCTTTAATAATATACAAAGATAATTAATCCTCTCTACTAAAGCTAAGTTGTACTCAGCTTTATATATTTTTCTTTTTAATACTAGATTTAGAGAACAATTTAAAAAGTAGAAACAAGTTATAACAAACTTATTTGTAAAATTTTCAGTCTTAAATATTATTTGAAAAACTTGTATACTTTATAATACTACTAGTAAAATGAATTAAGTATATTATTTATTTAAAAAGTGTATTATATATAAGAAAAGTATATTGTCTTTATAAGACTATACATTTTCTTTATAGTATCTTATATACAGTCAAATAATGTAGAAATGACTTTTAGTTTTTATAGTTTTTATATAACACACTCCTTTTAGTTATAACTGTACAAGTAATTATAGTATGTATAATATAGTCTAAAATTGAGTTGTATTAGTAATAAATAGTTTCTCTTACAACTCTAATCTGTAAAACCTGCCAACTTACAGCTTTTTAAGAAAGGATATATTTAATTCAGTTTATACATTCTCTGTTACAAATTGTGCTCTCAAACTACTTTATACTAATATTTAACATAATACACAAAAGTATATTATTATTAAATGTTTAATCTAATTTATTGTATACTTATTAAAATCCTCTGTATAAATTTTCTTACTATAGTTTAAAGGTTACAAAAGAATGTAAAGAGTAACTCATTTTTGAATGTAATGTATAAAGAGCTTATACTAACTCTACTACACTTTTTACAAGTTTATTAAGAATAATACAAAGTAGTTACATTATATTTATTATGATAAACTAATATTATTCATATTATTAGTAGAGAGAGTAACTTAAGACAAGATAGACAACTTATAAAGACTGTTAACAACTGGATCTGAAAATTAGAGAATAAGACTCTTACTCTAATAGTTGTGTTTTATACAAGCAAAATTCTGATTAAAAAGCTTAATACAACTGTATATATTCTAAATCTAATTCTTAGTAAACAAGATTACTAGAAAAACATATTTCTCACTTTCATAAAAGATGATTCAACTAGGCTACTACTAATCAACCTTGTTAAAGTTACTATGTTAGAGACACTTGAAATTTGTTAGATTAAAATTACTATTAATTTATAACAAATACAACTTTGTATTTTATATTCTCTAAGTTCAAAAAGTCTGTACATTATAAGAATATTTTACAGTAATTAAATCTGAACAATGTGCCAACCTGAGAAAGTTGTATTTACATAGTAGAGTATTCAGAGTTTTACATTATACTTTAATAAGAATACTCTAAAATATACTAAGGTTAGAATTTCTCAAAATAAGCTTCTTACTAAGTACTTTAAACTAATCTAATAACAAGTATCCCTTTATAACTCTGAATAAACTGTACAATCTCAGGATTAATAGGACAAATGTTTTTATGTTTATTGTTACTAAGTTAGTCTTACTAGTACTAAAATCCTTAACTTACTACTCCTTTTTTAATAAATATTATAAGAGAGTTTATAATATATTTGTATAATCTTAGTCTTTAGTAGAATACTTAAAGCTCTCTAACACAAACATTAATGAAGCTGTACCCAAACTACTTTTTGAATTTCTTTAGCTTATAAAAACACTTTGTATAAAGAACTCTTGTATTATACTGAGATTTTTTAATATGTTATTAATAAACAATATACTAGTCAACTAAATTGAACTTTCTAAAAGCTAATTAGTTTTATACTCTAAGCTGATGACTCTTTATCTCAGGTACAATGGCTAGGGCTATGTAAGCAATGTATGTGTTAAAGCATTATACAGTATAGTTTATAATTAATGTATCTTACTTAGAGTAAACAGTGTTATTAAAAGTCAAGCTAAAGTGTTTGATTGTAGTAGTAATTATGTAGTCTCACATTATCACAAAATATGTGAGTGAACCTTAAGACAGCAACTGAGATGGACATTCTATTTGGAGATCAATTCACAGGTCCAACTAATAAGGATTAACTTTGTATTAAAATAATTATTACTATGTATTAGTACTGTAGGGATCTCTTAACATAGACATACTTTCCAACATAAAATAGGGATTGTAATGTATAAATGGGAGTAAACCTGAGTACAGGTTTGTAATATATGTTGAAGTTATGTAGTATTAAGGCAAATAAGTTCACCAATACTTAGATAGGCAACAATAAGCTACCTTAGTTATTCAACTGATATTGAAGCAAAACTTCTTGCATATAGTACAATATCCATCACATGATTTCCTGTTCTTCTAGCACTGTTTGAGTTACTATACATTATGCTTTACTCCTATGCAGACTGTGGTACAGTAATATTTGGATAATGTAGAGTACATACAGTATTGCTTGTTATGGCAACTATTTCCATTTTCATTTTGACAAGCTCAACTTCTAGCATAGCATTGTCATCTAGGTAGGAACACTGTGGACCCAACTTTGTCATATCATCTTAATGCATGCAAGGAGACTCTCGCCTCTAATCACTCTCACGACAGTACAGCGACTTATTTCCGCCATAAAGGACCCATGTTGTGCTTCTCGGGCCTTTCAGTACGCAGGCTGTCCATTGTGAAAGCATTACTCGGTGCGATCTGATTTGTGACCGCTTCATCCAGGGCCATCAACAACAGATGCAATTACATTCATTTTACAATAAATACTATCCTGTCTGTCGGTTTAGAGGTCGATGAGAAAATAATTATGAGCTTATTGATAGAATTCTCAATCAAGGATGGTTTATATACAGGAGTCGTGGCAAATGGGCAGGACACATATCACTCTGCAGAGCAACTTCTACATTCAGTTTGGCATAATTATACAATTATAAATTTAATACTACTATAAAATTATCGGATTGAACTAATAGAGTATGTTTCTGCTAGTTAAATAGGGTACGGATCATACGATGGCGGACTTCTGCTGAGGGCCACCTCTATACTGACAGGCTTCTCGTCATCACCACCACAGGTGTCTAATAACTTGTCTCCTTCGTTTATGCCAGAACATATGGCATTGTCATCGCGTTCGTCACAGAAACTCTCATCAATACTCTTCTGCCATCTGACAATTCTATGAGCATCCAGGTCCTCCGCCTCTTTCTTGCGGCGTTCTTCCTCTGCTTTAATGTCCTCGGGCCGAATGCCATGGACCTTCATCTGAAATGCATCGATCCAGTCCCAGAAAGCATTATGTCTTTCATCCTCAATATCCTGCTCTTCGTCTCTTCTCAGCCGACGGATTCGCCTTTCTTTGGCAAGATCAACAGGATAATGGTCCTCAGCATATTTTTGAAGCATATCCTTCGCGTCTGTACTACCGAAGCAATAAAGCACGATAAAGGCATAAGTGATATCGAGCAAGATGTCTTTAGGTCGGTATTCTGTATCAGCTATTCCTCCTCCTGAGGGAGTATCCCTCAATCCAGAATCCTTAGTCAGATCGGAATGGGCGCCGTGCAATAGTTCACGAGTCCTCTCTCCGCCCAGGAAACAATGGACTGTGACGCGGTAAGCGTCCGGCGGAGCATTCTCTTCGCCTGGCATTTCGTTGGTCTTGAGGAACTTGTTCGGCGTCCGTAGACAGAGTACTCAATATAGTTACAATGAACATGATGTACTACTCACTTTAAGGAATGCAGCCCATTTCACTCTGTGAAAGGAACAGTGAAACAATGTTTCCATCATAATCTGGTTTCGACAGTCATCAATAGTCATAGTATCGTCTGGATCGCCACGGCTTGCAAGGAGACTGCGGAGATACTATTTCAGAGGTGGAAAGTAAAAAATATCAGTTTAATTTTTATGATACATTGCTCTGATGCTCACGTCGTCGCCCTTTTCACGCGGTACCAGATGGCACACCTCACACAACTCTGAGAGCATCTGGGAAAACGGGCAGCCACCATAGAATTCCCTCAGTTCCTTAGGCACATACATATGCTTGGTAGAGGAACATGAATCTCGATCCATGTGAGTAGCCCTCATACGCCAATCCAGAAAGTTTGCTTCTCTGTCAAAGCAAAACACATAGTAATCTCCAGGATTGACGTCCTTTTCCATTTCCTCTTCACTAAAATCCTTGTCACCGTTGAGGAAACGGAGTGTCCCGTCGACACCGCATACGTTAGTCGCTACGTATAGAAGCCACTTGCGCGGTTTGAGTGAGTAGAGCATCATGCAGTCGTGGGGAATATGCAGCAATGAGCTAGGATTGTGACCACCAGACATATACAAGAGCAAAACGTTCGACTCGTCGTCTACATTATCCGGAGAGCTTTTTCTTGCCAGAGAGGAAATATTCTGAGTAGCAGGATCAATATTCATGGTTATTTGCTGTGAGAAGTACAGAATGTAGCGAGCGTACTTGACTCAAAGCTGAAAGCAAGCCACTTTGAGACAGATTCGAAAATCACGTGAAATTTTCCGTCTTCAATGAATGAAAACTATTTTGGTTAACTATTTGTTAAAGTAAGAACTTGCATCCTATACTTGAATATGAATTGTCCGGTAAAACAACAATAACGATAATAAAATTTTAGTGCATATGTGCCCGATTTAAGATTTTATACTAAATGAGGAGTATTTGTAATTGCTTCCCACAGCTCTTGTGTAGTGCTCCGCACCGTAGCGTAATTTACGGTTACGCCTTCAGCGTATACGGTTATGCAGCGTATTGTAAATGACTTTTGGAGCTGAAAATACGCGTGTATTTTTACGCACGTATGTGTATACTTTGCCCCAAAAAATCCCGTATACAGCGTATACGACATATACGCGGTACACAAGAGACCTAGGAGATCAGCAGTTCTCCCTATTTAATCTGACGTCAATCAATTCAACAGCCTTTTATAGATAGGTTGCTTCTTTGTACCTGCCCTTAAACTCAAACTTTGCACGTGTGATGATATGCACAGTTAGCATTCCTCTCACCCCCCGACTGTCTCTCACTCCATCACTAGTGTCCTACTTCCCCCTGCTGCTTTCAGTAATATTAATCATCTGTTAAACAAGATAGATGCTTGATAAGAAGTAGGTAACATTGTATAAAGATGTCTGCAAGGATTTCTTTCGTCTAGGTGAGCCACATTATAGGCAATTGGTTCAGAGACTGATTATGCGTGTCTAGTGTAATCCTTGTCGTTTCTAGGTATCTTTTCCCTATATAGATATGTTTCTTCAGAATGTGCTGCATACCTATCAAGATAATCTTTTCATCAGCAATGCCCTTATGAGATCTGTGATCATCTGTCTTGTAGCTATGCTCACCTCAGTCTTTGTAGCTTTTTGCTCAAATTTGTAGACCATACTGTCTCTTGGTACTCACAAGAGCTCTATAACAGTTTAACCACTCTTGAAAAAGCTAACAATGTAATTATAGATTTGAGTAGTACAATGACAAAGGTGATCAGCTTGACAATTGGACCCTAGATCTGGTAGGATACAGTAGCTGGTAATATTTTTCTGATGTAATATTTGCAAGGTCTGACTTATTCAAATCAATCTTAGCACAGTAGCTTGAAATAGGATAGGTTATATATACTTTCAAGCAAATACTTGATGTCTAGATTGTACTGAGTGAATTTTTTCGTAGTCACAGTCTCCTACACATTCACTGAACAGTACCTTCAAGTGCTTCCTATACACTGGTAAGTCTTTCAAACTTGAGAATGCATAGTATATTATTAATTCTTATTGTTAGTACTACAGGATGAGTGAAGATACAACAAATAGTGGAAAGTGGAAGCAACGGGACAAAGTTGACTCAGGCAACATTGTTAACAACAAACAGTAGCGTGTCCAGTCAGCAAAGCTCTGCAAGAATGCTGATACATTGAAGAAACCTCAAGCAAGGAAGAGTAAGGACCTGGGTGCTGCTAGTCACCCAGTCCTGATAGAGAGTACGGATGACGAGGATACATCTGTTCAGGAGATGGATTCTGAGTCCGATAAAAGCGAGGATGAAGAAGTAAGTACATATCCCTCTATGCTATTATTCTAAAGCTCACAACAAGCATTTTTACACTTAGGAATCTCTTCCACAACTAGGTACACTGAAGAAAACAGTACAGGTAAGAAAACTGCTTTTTTGGATGCATTTACATATTACAAGTCTTTCAGGCAAAGAGACGTCCTCTTGCAAATACGAAAAGCACATCAACAGTAGCCTCTCAGCAGAAAAATGACAAGTCTTCAGTTACTGTTAATGATGAAGATGACCAAAGTAAAGCTAAAGTAAGTTTTTGTATTGATATCCAAGTTTTTTCGTGTGTTTTCTTTACATATTTAATTAGGTGTCAAACTGTATCATGTTGTTCTATAAACAAGTCCCTTGTGATGCTAATAGCTATGCTGAGGATGGAACCAAGTATTTCCAGTGCTGCCATCCTCATACTAATGGACTCTCTAAGATTCTGAAGATAATGCAAGCAATGTGTGGAAGCAAGACTGGTAGGTTTACTGGTACTTTTTCTAATATGTATCTTACTTTTTTCAGGTCTCAGGCAGCATCTAGAAAGCTATGGTGACATGTTTTCATTCTACAATTTCTTCAGAGTAGTAACAGCTTTACACTTGCCTACTTCTGAAGAGATAGACATTGCAAATCGAACAAGTATGTTTGCTTACATAATCAACATAGACTTGCTTAATGTGGTTTCCTTAGCAGTACTCACTCGAGAGGAGCTCAGGGAGATTGTCAAGGACTTGCCTAATACTAATAATATTGTAGAGATGTTTCAAAAGTAAGAGAACAAGAAAATGGTAAGATCTTTATTATTTACTTATGTCTATCTTTTAATTTTGTCTCTTTTTCCTTGTCATAGGTACCCTGGGAGCATGCAACCTTCAAGCGATTCCTTGTGGAATAGGTTGTTAAGACTGATCAACCATTTACTACTACAGAGGATCCTACCTTCCAAAGGCTTTTGCAATACATTCACCAGGCTAGAAATCTTTCTATTCCATTGAGTGACACAGTGAAGCATAACATTCAAGATATGAAGACTGAAGACTTTCAAAGAACAAAGGCAATGATCCAGGTAAGTCTACACTCATCTCTTTATTTTCTCCCCAATTCTGCAGGTTCTTTAGGTTACTTAGGTTAACCATACATATGGCAGACTCAACTGACTGTCTATACTAGCAAGCTTGTTGAGAGCTACAGCTAAGAATGCTTGTACTAATTGTATTACTCTGTTACAGGGTCTAGAGTCTAAGGTTTCACTATCCTTAGATGCATGGATGTCCAGTAATGGATATGCCTTTTTGGCCATTGTCATACATTACATTACAAATGACTGGAAGTTAGGTATGTATATCTAAATGTAATCTAAGTTTTGACTACTAAATTATTTCTAGATGAAAAGCTTATCACTTTTGAGGAGATATCTGGCCACCATAGTGGAGATAATTTGGGTGCCATTGTATGGCAGGTTATTGAGCAGTATGGTATTAAAGAGAAGGTACGGCTTCGCTTACGTAATACGAGTTCGCATTCTTCTCACATCTTTTATCCACTTCTTGTATTTCATGTAGCTGATTGTGATTACATGTGACAATGCTACAAACAATAATACTATGCTACAGTACATTGGAGGAAAAATGCATAGTGACAATATAGATTTCTCTTCTAGCAATGCTAGAATGCAATGCATGCCTCATACAGTCTACTTAGCAGTTATGAAGGTAAGTGTCTCTTTCATTACTTTATTTCCTCCAATGCTTACACTATTAAAACAGCTCCTTAAAGCTCTAGGAGCTATAGATTATGTTAATGAGTCTGCCAGTACTTATCAGGAGGATATAAACCCTGTAGACAAAGACAAGGAAGCTATTCACAAGGATGGATGTGAGGAGGAGGAGGATATGTCTAATGCTATTATTTCTATTGCAAAAGTGAGTAAATAGTAATATATTACTTAAAAAGTGTCTAAGTCTTTTTAAAGTTAAGAAAATTCGTTTGTATGATAAGGGCAAGTCCTCAACACTGGCAGGAGTAGGTACAGGCTGCTACTCTAATGTTATCAGAGAAGGAGCAAGAAAGAGGCCAGATAGCTCTCATGCTCATCCTTGATGTCTCAACACAATAGTCTTCTACTCACTATATGCTTTGTAAGTAATGTTTTACACATTTATATATCTCTAATTCAATTTTACAGGTTGCACACTCTGCTTTCAAAAGGCTATAGACACATTTTGTGCTAAGCATGAGTATTGCAACTATGAGCTTAATACAAAGGACTGGGCTGCAATTGAGCTTGTATCATCTTGGCTTCATCATTTCTGATGTGCAACAACTGCTATGTCAGCTACAAAGATTCCTACCTTATCTTTGGCATATGGGTACTTTTTACACCTCCAGAACAGTCTCTGCAAAGCAATACAAGAGTTTCCTGCTACTGCACCACTACAACTAAAAGATGCACTACATGCAGCACACAAGAAACTTGCTGACTATCTTACCTGGTTTGTTGCATCACCTTATTACTTATGGGCTACACATAAGTCATTACCTTACTCTTGCTCATCAGTACTTATACTTTTGTCTATATCCTTAGTCTTGGACCCTTGTATCTCATACTCTGGAATGAAACAGAATGCTATTGGTGATGCCTGACTGCTACAACTCATTGACAAGGCAAAGTGTATGCTTGAGGAACATTTTCATTCAACTTACATTATTTGTTATCAAGGCAATGCAATCTCTTCAGATGCTCTCATGGACAACACTGAAACAAGTGTACATGATATTGCGAGTCTTTTCTCCACCAACAAGCTGTCAAACAGTAACACTGAGCTTGAGGAGTACTTCTCCATGAAGCAGGAACAGTCATGGACAGACTGTGACCCTGTCAAATGGTGGGCTGGCCAATGTGCTCAGTTTCCTTTACTATCACTATTTGCTTGGGATATACATTGTATTCCAGGTATGTTGTTCTTTGCATCATTTTCAAATAATATTCAGGTCTGTTTTACAGGTTCTTCTGTTGCTGTTGAACAGATCTTCTCATCTGGACAAGATACTATTGCTTTTCATCATTCAAGCCTTTGCCCTGGAACTATTAGGGACTTGATGATGGTAAAGCATACTTTGAAGGCAGTGAACAAGTCTATTTAGTTATATTCAATGTCTATAGTAACTACACTACCTATATACCTTCTTTGTAAGTGTATACACTGTATATGCTGTATACACTACTAGCATATTGTATAGCTCCCCCAGACTCTACATTTATGTGTGTATGTGTATATGTTAGAGAATTTACACACATAAGTGTATACACTACACACAGAGCACTACTCTTGTGTGTCCAATGTCCATTATTGGGTTACTCAAGTACTATCAAAAACACATTATAGCTGTCCTCAATTCACTTGTGAGGGAGACTTGCAGCTCAGCACAGGGAGGAGAACTACTGTGTTGGTTCTCCCCCAAAACCTTAACTCCTGCCTTATGTAGTTCCCTCTGTGCAAGTCTGTGCAATTTTGCACAAGTGCTCTCGAGTGCTTGTGCAGACTTGCAAAGCGTCAGAGTTTAAAATAAACAAAGAATTCCCTCACTAAAACCAATGTAAATTGTGATTAGTATGACAGAACACCATAAATAACACAGTCCTGTGACTGTATAGAGTGAGCACAAGCGTGAAATAAGTGCAAAATACACATTTTATCATATCTTACACTCTCCATTCTCCTTCTACAATGGCCCCATTAGTGTATAATAGTATGACAAATGCATTAAACATTGGATCTTTTGCTTTATACCAGACTTTATATGCTAAAACAGACAAAGATTTGCTCATAAGCATGTTTCTTGCATACAAAGCTCATTGCTTGCTGCTTCAAGCTCGTCCTTCAGACTGTGGACCATATGATACATCCTATTCAGAGGATTTCCTGGATAACTTACTATATAACACATTGGATTTGATTTTTAAATTGTTCTTCAGGTAAATTTCAAGGTTATGAATCATATGCATGCTACCACACTCTCTGATCCATCATACATCTTTTAGAGTCAGCTGCGAGTCATTCAAGGTCTTAACTGATCTTATTAAGAATGATGAAGTGTTTAGAATTACTGGTACAAAGTGAGTCTATACATGTCTTATCCTATGGTCGAAATTACATGTACATTCTGATGTACAGGGCACAAGCACCACCTTGGATACAGCTTGCTGTCTTCCTCATATGTAACAGATCCTCAACATGTATTAAGGTTGCTGAGATGGTATCAATTGTGGAGGGTACAGTACACTTGTATTGTTTAAGAGTTACTACTGCTTTCTGCCAGCTCTATCCTTGTTTCATCACCTGGCCAGAAGGAGAGTAATGTCAAGCACTAAAGATTAGGATACAGAATCAAGGTTTCCCTGGATGTATTAGTATGCTAGATGGATCCCTCATCCCTCTTGCTACAAAGCCAAGGAAGGATGGGTTACAGTACTTCTGTAGGAAGAAGTTTTATACTGTGAGTTTTTTCACTCTTTTCCTTTCTTATAATACTTAATTCTACTACATAGAATTATAAAGGTTGCTCTACAAGGAATATACAATGATAAAAAACACTTTACCCACCATGACTTAGGGTGGCCTGGAAATGTACAGGATACTACTGTGTTTTGTGACTCTTGTATCTGGCAATTCAAAGGAGACCATTTCTCAAAGGAGGAATTTCTTTTGGCTGATAAAGGTGAGCCTTTTTGACTTTATATCTTAATGTGCAATACCTCACATTCTTGCATTACTGTATTGACAGGATATCCCCTCACTCAATTCACTGTGTGCTCTTTTACTGAAAGTGACCTTACAAATGACCCAGAAGAGGCTTGCCACTGCTGCCACTTTAATTTCACCCTCTCACACTGTTGTATTACTATTAAGCATGCTTTTAGTATACTCAAAGACTGTTTTCCTTCCCTTCAGTACCTTCCAGGCACTAATATCAATGTCATTTACATAACTATTGAAGCTCTTTTGGTTGTACACAATATTCTCATTAATATCAATAATGATCCTACTAACATTTTGGATTACAATAGTGAGGAGGATCCTAATGTATTTGCTTAAGAAATTGAGGTTCTGGACAAAGGACTTGCTAATACAAGGAGAGAAATCAATCAGATAGCAGATGGACACCTCTATTATACTGGATTACATTACTGTAAGTATCTTATAGAGTGTATGAATGGATTTCAGGCACTAGGTGATATACTCAGGCACTAAGTAATATAATTCCTTGAAGCTCCTTAATGTGACAAGCTATAACTGTGTTGTCTTTCAGATTGGTGAATACATGTTCTATTTCTATTGTCATTACATAGTGCTTCATTTGTACCCTATTTATCTACTAAATCCTACTTCCTTGAAGCTTATTAATGTGTTTTTGCCTGTATTGTTGTGCAAGATACTATAATCCAACAATACATTCCAAACCCTACTTCCTTGAAGCTTATTAATGTGTATTTTGCTTGTATCATTGTACAAGACACTGTAATCCAATCTTACAAGCTAGTCCTGCTACTCAGTACAACAGAGATGTCTGATTGTGTTACTAATGTTGTGAATCTCCTCAGCAAGGTTGACTGCCAGGTCCTACTCTATTAGATTGTCTGAGTCTTGCATCTGACAGTACTGCTTGAGTTTTGAGCAACACAAATCTTCCATATTGTGCATCTCCTGTATCTTTGTAGCTTGATCTTTAGACTACATTCTTTTGCAGCAAAACTCCTCCTCCTTCTCATCCTTAGCTCTTTCATATACAAATCACTCAGTATCAAGCTGAGTAGACCCCTTTTAATGTTCTTGCTGGGAAAATATTGCCTCCAACATGATAGTAGTGAACTCAGAGACTGTATCTCCTTTCTTTCTTTTCTTTTCTTCTTCCTTAACCTGCTTGACTTCTGCTTCAACATCCTTGAATTTACACAACAAGCTGAACTCTATAGACTTGTCTATATTAGCTTGGCCCTCTGTACTAAATAACCAGGCAGGTAAGTCTTCAAATGTATAAATAAAACAATCCTAAAGGATTAGGAGACTTACACTCTAAGGATAATAGGATAAATGGGTCCCTCAGTAAATTTCTTATACTGTACAGCTAAGGTCTAGAGGTCTGACACACTCTTGTCTCCATCTCTGCCCCCTGTATACTTTTCCCATCCTAAATAATGTAGTAAGCAACCATTTTAATAGTATAATGATAGAGTGACTAATGTCTAGTATCCTTGAACTGTCTAAATATAGAGTGCTACCAATTGAGGCACTGTTCAGCTGTATACTCTGGAAGAATGTTCTGGGAGATCTGGAACAAAACTATGAGTGAGTAGGACAGCTGTATTACTTTATATAGTACCTTACAAAGACAGAGAAAGTCTACAAACAAAATATGAAGTAGATGAGAGGCAAGTAACTCACCTCTTAACAGAAATTACACAAAGACACTTGTACTTTTGCCTAGCACTCTAGAGTTGTAATGTATTCTACTAATTTAATACTAGACTCATCATTCCAGGTAGCTATAATCTTCACTTTGTTTATTTCAATAATATCTGTGTCATTTTTTTGCTCCTTAGTAAGGAGATTGATTTTGGACTCAGAATGACTAGAAGCTTGTACATTTTTTCTAGAGTATACACTCTTACCAGTTTTCCTACTAACTACCTTCTTCTCTACTTTAGCTTTGCCCTTCACTGTCTTAGAGACCTTAGGAGCTAGAGTAGAGGATTGTAGGGTTGGATGAGAGCTAGAAGAGTTAGAAGATACTGGTTGGTGAGCTAGAGTTTGTGCTTGGTTTTGCTAGTGTATGTAGAAATTTAGGGCTACTAAAGCTCTAACATTGTCTAGAAACTCTAGACTTAGAGTATGGACGACTGGGGCTGGACTAGGAGAAGGGGGTACTATAGAGCTGGCAGGAATTTGTATCTGGTGAGTTGCTGCCTGAGTTTGTACATATAATTGTAATGCTTGTAATAAAGTAGCTAGTGTCTAAGGTTGGCTGAATGGTTGTTCAGCATTCTGAGAGCTGTTCTGCTCTATCTTAGAGGTTGAGAGTTGAGGAGGACAAGCTGTTTGAATTTTTTTTTCTTTGTGACAACACTCATGTCTCAGATGGATCTCTAAGTTTCTTTATTTGGGACATTCACATTACTACATTAAGAGGTATACAACTTAAGTAATAATGGTCAATCCTTGCTGTAAGTCTGATCCTCAATTCTTGAGGGACTTGTACTGCTCACAGTATTAGTCTTCTTCATACTACAGCCCCTGCACAAGTCCTCTACACAAGTGAATTAAGGAGGGCTATACTGTGATGTAGTTAGATACACTCCCAAATTCAGAATGGTGGACATTGTAGTCACTAGCCCAAAATGCATGAAATCAGGGCTATTGTATTAGGCTGGAGCTGAAGCTTTCCTTGTGTGTTCTTAGAGTATATTGTTCTTTTAGTACTAACAGGAATATAGTATGTGGTCAGACAACAGTCTTGCCAGTAATAAATACTTTTGCCTACAACTCTAATCTGTAGAACCTACCAAATTACAGCTCTTCAAGAAAGGATCCAAATCTAACATATTCAGTCTATCTATTGTCAATTGCAAGTTGTTGCCCTCAAATTGCTCTACACCTTTTTCTGACCTAATACACAGAGGAATATTGTTATCAAATAGCTTGCCTAATTGACTGTGTACCTCTCAAAATTCTCAGTGAAATTTTTCTCACTACAGCTCAGATATTACAAGAGGGCTTATAGAGTGAGGGATCTTTGAACACATTGTATAAGGGACCTATGCTGGTCCTACTGCACCTTTTGCAAGTCTGCCATGTATGGTGCAAACTAGCCATGTTATACTTGTCATTATGGACTGACATCATTCTTGTTGTTTATGGAAAAGGCAGTACAGAACAAGATGAACAGCTTATGGAAGCTGTCAATACTTGGCTCAGAATGTCCAGGACAGTGCCACTCAAAGTTACAGCTGTGTTCAATACAGGCAAGCTCCTGAATAGGGAGCTTGACATGGCAACATATATTCTAAACTGAATTCTTGGCAAACAGGCCTGCTAGAGAGAGGTATCTCTCACCTTTGAAGAAAAAGATCCTACTAGACTGCTGCTAATCAACTTTATTGACATACCAAGCCTGGAGTCTCTTACCATTCATTGGAAAAAGGCTGCTCTTAATCTGTATCAAGTACTACTACACATTCTGTGTTCTCTGTGTCTGAAAAACCTATCCATTGAAGGAATTCCTCCTATTCAAACAGGAAAACTTTCAGGCATGAGAGAGCTGTATCTACATGGCAGAGCAATCAGAGTCTCATACAGTGCTCTTCTAGACATGCTCCAAAATATGCTAGGGTTGGAATCTCTTAAGATAAGCTTTATGCTAGGCACTTTTAGACTGGTCTAATAAGGAGTGCCCTTCTATAACTTTGGATAAACTATCTATGCTCAAAATTGATAGGACAGATGTCTCTACATTCATTACTAAAAAGTTGGTCTTACCCAGATTAAAATCTCTGGCCTGTCACTCCCTTTCCTATGAACATTATGAAGAGATCATTAATATGCTCAAACGATCTTAGCTGTTGGTAGAGTCTTTGAAACTCTCTGACACAATAATGGATGAAGACATACTTATACCTCTTTTTGAACTTCTTCCACAGTTGAAAACTCTTCATACAGAGCATTCCTGTGTCATGCCCAGGCTTTTCAATGTATTGTCCACAACTAACACAGCTGAAAACAATAATGAGCTTCACTGGGGAAGCTCAGTTGTATGTCCCAAGCTCAGAGCTCTTCATTTCCAGGATAATGGATGGGGAATGGGTGGAGGTGTATGTGTTCATGCACTATACAACATGATTCAAAAACGTTGCATTTCACTCAGAATAGACAGTGTCATAAATTACCAGGCCAAAGTGTACAACTGTGCTGGTAGTGATAGTATAATCTCACACTTCACTGTCCTGTTTGCCAAACTTTGTTATATACTAAAACGAGAGAATCTTAGAAGAGCATCTGAACTGGATATTCTATTCAGACATTCTATTCATAGGTCTATTGACTGGCAAGGATAACTTTGTATTGAAGTAACCATTATATGTATTGTTACTGCAGGAACCAATAAATTTAGACATGTTTTCTGATGTAGGAAATAAACTATAAGATGTGAAAGTGTGAGTAGACCTGGATGTGGGATTGTGGTGTCAAAGATAAAGTAAAGCAGTATTGGGCAAATATATTCTTCAAACCCTTATTTTCATAGCATATATTTGGAACAATAAACACTAGAGCAGTCTTGAAACATTATTTGATACTACTATTGTTGTAGGTAACTTAATAGTAATTCAGAATTAATTATGCAACTGACATCAAAGTACAGATACACACATATTTGTTACATGATTTTCTGCTCCTCTGACACTATTGAGTTACAGTACATTCAGTCAAAATATTAGACACTACATATACTCAGGATCTAACATTAGTATAAGGAACAAACTTACAAAGTATTATGCTTTACTCCTATATAGGTTGTAGGACAGTAGTATTGAGATTTGTACAGTACAATCATATTACTAGTTATAATAACACTTTCTATTTTCATTTTGGCCAGATCCTAATTGAGTAGTAATATAAAAATTGTACAGTCATTACTTGTATCCTAGTCTCATATTATATTGACTTAGGAGAGTATTATAGTAGTGTTCTATAATCATTTTATTCTATTTACTAGTTTTTTACTTAGTCTTTCTATAGATAGCTATTATATAAATAGAGTCTTGTATTATACTAACTAATTACCTGTATAAGTAGTTACAACTTATCTTTTACCATGTTAAAAAAACTGTGTGAATGAAATTACTACACTCTAAGATTAATTAATTTAGAGTTGTTAATTAATGTAATAATACACATTTGTGTATACTATAGTGTAAACACTATCCTAGTCTTCTTTTCCTAGTAGACTCTTTCTTAATAATTAGTCTTTCTTCTTACTCTCTCTCTGTATTGTCTCTTACTCTCTCCTTTGTATACTCTCTCATTACTTACAACTTACAAACATTATGTTTACTATGTTATTAGTAATGTTGTTTAGTAAAGCTCACTCTATTAATAACAGTACTTTGAAGGATTCAAATAATAACAGTTTAAAAGATGGTAATGAATCTGAGTTGCTTTATTTTTATACACTAACTCTATCTCTTACAGTTAACACACTTACACTTACTCAGTTAGTAATATTTATACTTAGTAATCTTTCTAACACAAGTGTGTATAGTTAAAACACTATTACTTATAAGTTTGTAAAAGTACAAAGTATTTATAATATAAATACAATTTGATTTATTGTAAAGAACTATAGTAGCTTTTTATATTATATAATAATCTTTTTTATTATACTTTACTTTGTAAAGGATTCTTTTAATAACACTCTTACTATAATTAGAATATTAAATAAAGGTCTTAGTATTAGAAAATATAACTAGTTACTAGTTAATGTCTTTAAATAACAATACAACTTAAATATTACTATTTCTAATTATAGTATATTATATATTTTAGAGTTATTCTATATTATAAATAGTTTAGATTACTCCTATTTAGTCAGTTCCTTATTAATTACACTTTTATAACTATCTTTTACTAGCTCTATAGTAAGTACATTTTCTAATACTAGTATTAATAATGTTATACAAATACTAGCTGTTGATACTACAAATAACTTATTTATTTTGAGTAAAAATATTATAAGAATTGTAATTAGCTGTGTTAACATGTATTACAATTAATGATACAATTACAGACAATACAGTATTAGTAAAAAAATAATAATATGTATACAAACAGAACAGATACAGAACTATGAGACATGTATCAGATACACAATACAAGACATGTATTAGATACACAATAAGTATCAGATACTAGATAATAATACTTTGAATATCTAAGACACACAAACAGACAAATAATATAAAACAAACAACTTATTAACTAAATACATATTATTATCAGGGTCTACACTCTTATTACTTGTGTAATAACCTAAGAATACACATTCTAACAGGTTATAAGTGTTACAACCTAATACTTTCTTTCCTGGAACTCTTAGTTCCAATTACAGAACTTAGGACTTCCATCCCTTAGGTGTGTAGTATATAGACTATATACAGACTGATTCATACAGTGACCCCTATTACTACTCCTTTCTACCTTGTTACTCATTGTCTTTATCTACCCTTTCATTCTTTGTTCATTCTTTAGGCTTCTACCCTTTACTCCTTTATCCTCTCATTCTTCATTCCTTGTAGCTTATTATTCCCTGAGTACTCTTGTGTGTTAGGAGAGATGTGTTCTCTAAGTTGATAGTACTCTCAAACTGCAAATGTAGACCTACAGTCCTTGATCCAACTATATTCCCAAAGCTACTAGCTAGGATTTATACTAAGAGAACAAGTAGAAATATGAGAAGAGTCAAAAAACTAAGGAACTACTGTATCTACAGACTGCTTTTTATAATAACTGAATAATAAGAGTAAAGTAAGGAATGAAACTTAAGAATAAGATCAAAGAAATAATAAAGACAAATATTACAAAACTAACAGGCACATCAGAGGCTAGGAAGAATTAACAGAGTGTTACACATTAGAGAATATAGGCTAAGAGGCCATTACACAAGAAAGGCACAAGTTACCATATTGGGTAAGAAATGAATTAGCTACATTATGATTGTGTACACTGTCTTATGTCTCTGTAGCTCCCTCCTACACTCAATACTAAAACAATCTCTATAAAACTTTGTAGGACAATAGATAAGATATTAAGGATTATGAAAATCTAATACTAATATTGGTATTTTGCAAAACTGACAGAGATATAAAGGAAATGAAATAGGTCCAATCCTACAATCCTAACATTACCCTCCTCCTTAGGTTGTACATCCCAGACAACTGAATTTAGAGGCTAGTTTGCTTAAGTAAAGTGTCAAAGTTCTTAAAGGTTCCCTTTAGAATGTTCAGTTGTCTTAGAACACTAGGATAAGTTTTATAGAAATCCCTAACAGTATCCTAAGTATGAGTGAGATCATTTTCAGACTGCCAAGTTACTTCCTAGTATCCTACCCATTTGACAAGGAACTGGAGCTTTCCCTTGTAGAGTCAAGAGTTAAGGATAGTCTCAACTTTGTATTCAATCTCATTATTTACAAGTTCAGGTAGAGGAGGAGGAGGAGCCTTCTGAATATTAAAGACTTGGGGAACATATAGTTTGAGTAGAATCTTATTAAATACTAGGTGAATCAACCATTCCTAAGATAGTTTGAGCCTATATGTACTAGCTCCAACCTTTGAGTCAACCTTAAAAGGACTAAACCACATGTTATTGAACTTCTTAGTAGGTCTGGTAGTCTTTATGTTCCTTGAGTTCAAACACACTATATCTTCTAGCTTGTACTATATAGAGGGTCCTGAATGATAATTATAGTACTTCTTCATAACTTTAGCAGTTTGGTCCAGGCTTTTCTTTATAAGTTCCTAAACATTTTTAATATACTTAACCTATTGTTTAACTAAATATGTACTAGTCTCAGTCAAAACTGATTCAAAGCCTATAGAGTGTTCTCTAGAGTTGACATAGAATGGAGAAAACTTGGTAGCAGAATGTTCTTAATTATTATATACAAACTCAGCTATAGAAATCCATTCTACTCAGTCTGACTACTTATAGTTAACATACAAGTAGAGATACTGTTCTATCTCTTAATTAATATACTCAGTTTGACTATCAGTTTGAGGATAATATACTGTAGAGGGATTCCCTTCAATATAAAGAG